TCTAAATGGAGATAGTTGGCAGGCCCACTGAGAGCTATTAGTTGGATTATCCTTTTGCCAGCTTCCAACCAAGGAATCCCCACTTCTGATGTTTGCAGAGAGAAAAGGGAAGAGGGGATGACATCTGACCCAGAAGTGATGTAACTTTCTGGTTATGCTCTAGGAATCCTTCCATCTCTATGGTTTTTACCATAGAGATTAGGGGGGAAATTGCTACAGCATCTTCTGAGAGTGATATCACTTCCTGGCAATGTTCCCTCTAAGCTATGGAGTCTTGTGAGCAACAATTCTACTTTGTGAGCTACTGGCATTAAAGTTGTGAGCCAGAGATCTGGCTACTGCATAAATTAGTTTGCTTTGGAGCCATCCTTCCTGAGCTAAGACAGAAATGTGTGAGCCAGAGGCTAAAAAACTGTGAGCTAGCTCACACTAACTCAGCTTAGAGGGAACACTGCTTCCTGGTGAGACGCAACCCTCCTTGGACCCCCACACCAGGAATCTCCCAGGGGTTGTGGGCAGGGCTCTTTTTGTAGCAGGAACTCCTTTGCATATTAGGTGACATGCCCCTAAGGTAGCCAATCCTCCAAGACCTTACAGAGCTCTTCTTACAGGGGCTACTGTAAGCTCTTGGAGGATTGGCTACATTAGGGTTGTGTCGCCTAATATGCAAAGGAGTTCCTGCTACAAAAAGAACCCTGTATAGAGGTCTGGCAAAACCTAGCTATTAGCCACATTAGCTAACCTCCTTGTTCAGAAGCAGTGTACCTCTGAGTACCGGTTACTACAGGACAACTACAGGGAAAGCCTCCTTGCTCCGCTTGTAGGTTTCCCAGGGGCTTCGTGGCCCACTGTTGGAAAAACCACGCTTCAGGATGGCTCCTTCCATGTTTCTATGCAAACTCCTTCTTGCCAGCTGAATATGATAAGGGACCCTGAGCCAAAAGATGGAACTTTTTGTCTAGATAGCCTTTTCTGAGCGTTCCTCTTGACTCAGTGTTGGGTACAACTCTCTGCTTTTAGGAACAGACGGCTCTTCCATGCTGAGCACCCTCAGTGATACAGCAAGAGCCTAAATTGAACTTTGGCTGCTTTTGCAGGTGAACCCACAAAGCAAACGACTTGGGCGATATCTGATCCTGTGGACACGTGCCGCCTGTACTATCATGGCGACTAATCAGATACCTTGCAATCTATCGTTCCAGGAAGGGACCAGAAAAATTTCTTATCAAGAATTCTCGGCATGCAAACACACATGCACAACTACTTTACACAAGGGGAAGCCACCTCAGTCAAATCAGTTTAAATTCATAAGCCCCAACTCAACAAGGTGTGAGCACTAAAGGAACTTTTACGCAGTCTCATTTTCCTCGCTTGTATGTTCCTCTCGCTTTGGGGTTGTTTCCTGTTCTGCCCATGTTTTGCTCCTTCTAGTGGCCAATTCAATAGTACATGCTTAATGTCTGGCATCTCTCCATGCAGATTTTAACTGTAGGTTTTTATGCCGGATATAAAGCGACATAATATTGAATCGACCACTAGAGGGAGCACAATGTGTGCAGAACAGACCCCCCCCCCAAGCAACAGGAACACACAAGCGAGAAAAACGGGAATACTGAAAAGCTGGAGGAGGCTGGAATACCCCCGCCCCTGATCAGGTGTTTGGCATGTCAGGTGGAAGACAGTAGTCAGCCCTTCTCTTTCCAAGCAGCTGATCAACTGGACGACAGTGTTACTTGCCAAGCTTTGCACATGCAGATCCTGTTACTAATCAGGGCAAGGAATTTTGTGCATGACCCATGTGGGGAAGTTTGTTCAACTGGACAATAGAGGGAAAGGCCCTGACAACCTTGATGGAAATTTTCATTCCATGACTTCCTTAACCCTTGACTGTTAATGCACTTGGTGGGTTTCAAAATTCAGTTCAGAAATATATATATATATATATAGTGTGTTTTTACAGTCAAATCATCTCTGTAAGGGCAAATTCTGGATTATGGTTTGATTTCACACTGGTTAGCATCCCCACCACTCCAAGATTAGGGCACAATCGTAACACATTCCAGATTTCCGTATGTCAAAAATATTCAGACCCCCATACGATACATTTTTTGTTTGGACTCAGGTATGTGCTGCATCGTATCACGATTCCACTGCACCTATGGGGCTCTATCGGAAATATGGCGGATTTTTTTAAAAAATCAGCTTTAAAAAGTGTTGGGACGGTTTTCAAGCCGAATCCCCCACCCCCACCCCGGTCATGCATACCCCTTTTAAACAATTCTGAAAACTACGAAGAGTTCATCGTTCGGGGGGGAGGAATTACAAAGAGTGGGATAAAAAGCAGGAGAGGGGATCCCAGTCCCTCCTTCACTCCTTCGGAGGCTGAGAGGGGAAGGTCGGAGATGACGGGATCTGATAGATCGTTTCCTACTATGCTTTTGCACAAATTTAGGAATATAAGGTAGAAAGAAGAACAGGCAAGAGGCGGTCTTTGGGGTCCCATTCTTGACTTTTTGTGTGTGTGAATGGGACTTGTGCTTTTCGTGTTTTCAAGAGAAGGCAGAATCCATTTCTCGTAGCCTATCTGACTCACTTTCTGACCAATTATCCTCGAGCAAAAGCTCCGAGCGCGCGGTGCCTTCCACCCATCAAAAAAAACCCTCCACTCATCCATCTGCTTGCTTCCTCCTCCCAGTTCCTCCGGGCAAAACAGCCCTACAGTTTTTAAAAGTCAACCTCCCTTCGAAAGAGGGATGCCAACTCCTGGTTGGGAAATCCATGGAGATTTTGAGGGGTGGAGCCTGAAGAAGGTGGGGGTTGGGGCAGGACAGACCTCCGCGGGGTGCAATGCCAGAGATTCCACCCTCCAAATCGGCCATCTTCTCCAGGAGAACAGATCTCTGTTCTCTGGAGATTGACAGCTCGTTCCAGAAGATCTCCAGTCCCTACCTGGAAGGTTGGCAACCCTGGTCCCAATGAGCAAATTTATTTATTTATTCATTTATTTATGTATTCAGTTTATACCCCCCCCTACCCACCAAGGGCGGCTGAGCCTGCCACAATGGCCATTTTGTGCCAGAGTGGCCAACGGTGGAGAAGTATGTAATTAATCATCACTCGGTCTCCTCTTCCATAGATCGGGGGTCCCCAACGCGGTGCCTGTGGGCATCTCAGCACCTGCCGGCACCTTTTCTGGCAAACGCTCTCGGCACCTGCCGGCACCTTTTCTGGCAAACGCCAAGAGCTTTTAGAAAGCAGGTGGGGCTGGGTGGGCCTTTTGCCCAGCAAGGCTTCTGATTGGCCATCGGGGATTTGATTGGCTGTGCGGGTTTCTAAAAACATCGGTTTGGCAGCCGCTGCCGCCCCAGCACGAGAGTCTTCACGGTAAGTCGTGGCGGCCTTTTTGTGTCTGGCTCCACCTCCTTTGGCATCCATTGGGCAGCCGCGCCCACCATGTGTCAGGATTGCAATGATGCCCGCGGGCTCAAAAAGGTTGGGGACACCCCCCCCCCCGTGGAAGGGGTTTTGGTCCAATTGCGGGAAAGCCCACCACCTAATAACACTGGGACTCATGAGCTTAAGGAAGCATTTGAACCCAAAGGGTGTGAAAGTTGTTTAGGGCTGCCATTTGCCCGTGGGGGGGGGGTCCCCTGATTTTGCAGCTCCTGCCTGCCGCTAGCCAGATGGCCGGCGGGAGGGAACCCCCCCCCAAAAAAACAGTGACATTGCATGTGACGTGCTTGCGTCACCCAAAAAGGATGTCGGCTCATCGGCGACATCGGGGGTGTGTGTGATGCTCTGGTTGGACGCAGATTTTACCATAGAGTTTTGCCCCAAATCCAGAACGTCACACCCAATGTCGCCAACGTGCCGATATCACTTCTGGGTCACTGTTTCGGGGGGGGGATATCGGGCAACATCACTTCCCACTCCCGGAACGTCCCCCCCATCCCCACCACCCCCGACGGGCGAAAGGGGCCTGAAAACCCTAAAGGTACTCATGAAAACTTTGTTTATCCTTTTCCTGTTCAGACACAGGAGAAGGAAGCAAGCGACAATCGAGCGCTGGACCCTCGGTAACGCATCCGGCGCAGCAGGTAAGGAAGAAGGAAGCTTCCGGCAATCGCTCCATCCCCCCCATTTACTTCCAATTCTCATTTCCCAATTTTTCTTTTTTAAAGTATCTCTCTGCAGACTTGACTCTCTGTTAATAAATGCTGCTGAGGAAAAAAGGGGGGGGGGATTCATCATTTCCCCCTCCCCCGTCACAATGTAAACAGGATTTTTTTTTCTCTTTTCACCTAAGCAATGGAAGAATTTATATTCTCTCTCTCTCTCTCTCTTTCCCCTAATGTTTTCAGCCAGGCACCAAAGCAACGGATCTTTATGCAAAAACAAAATATTCTTTTCCCCCCCCCGAAAAAAACCAACAAAATGTTTGGTGCGAATTAGGTAACAGCGACATATCCACCACAAAGATGACGGGGCACCAAGACAACATCTCCAAGCGCACATGCTCCAGTAGCCATCCATAGAAAGAGCTAAAGAACCCCTAATGCATTTCTACTTATTTCGAGAGGTATATATATATACAATCCTTGTGAGAAGCAGGATTGAGAAGCCGTCACTAGAACACTATGCGCCTCTGTCTGCGCAACTAAACTCTTCCCGCAGGGCGTTCTAGCTGCGTCCCCATGCATCTCTCAGCCCAGGGGCCTGCTGGGTTCTCTTCCTACCTCTAGACATTATAACCACCAAATCGTTGTTGTCGTCGTCTTCTTTTCCCTTTTGCTATTTTTATTTTTCGACTTCTTCTTTTTCTTCTCTCTCTCTCTTTCTCTCTCTCTCTTTAAATAAGCTGCAAAATGAACTTGCAGGCTTTCTTCAAAAAACAACAAAATAAAATTCGAATGGCTCAGAAGGCAAAACTCTGCTGTGAGGGACGTCGCGCGCCCCGGCAAGGACCGATAAAGGGAGGACGCCTCCGCACCGGGCCGGTTTCAGCTGTCGGAGCCCAGCTGGGTTTCAATGTCCACACGGCAGATGGGGCATTTCTTGCTGGTCGCTAGCCACTGGTCCACGCACACTTGGTGGAAGAGGTGCATACACGGCAACCTCCTGGAAGAGAGAAGCGGAAGGACTGGGTTACTGTTTGCCTGTGGAACTCTCTGCCACAGGAGATAGTGAGGGCCATGAGTTTAGCTGGTTTTAAAGGAGGATGAACAGACATTCGTGGAGGAGGATAGGTCTATGAAGGAATACATAAGAACATAAGAGAAACCAATGTTGGATCAGGCCAATGGCCCATCCAGTCCAACACTCTGTATCACACAGTGGCCAGAAATACCAGGTGCCATCAGGAGGTCCAGCAGTGGGGCCAGGACACAAGGAGCCCTCCCACTGTTGCCCCCCCCAAGCACCAAGAACATAAGAACATAAGAGAAGCCAATGTTGGACCAGGCCAATGGCCCATCTAGTCCAACACTCTGTCACACAGTGGCCAGAAATACCAGGTGCCATCAGGAGGTCCAGCAGTGGACCTCAAGGACGGTACTGTCTGCTCAGACTGGCAGCAGCTCTCCAGGGTCTCGTGGAAGTCTCTCACATCACCTTCTACCCAATTCTTTTAACGGGAGCTGCTGGGGATAGAACCTGGGGCCTCCTGCATACAGAACAGAGGCTCTTCAGGGTCTCAGACAGAGGCCTTCCACATCACCTACTGCCTGTTTTCTTTTTAAGTGGAGATGCCGGGGATTGAACCTGGGACCTTCTGCCCGCCAAGCAGATGTTCTACCACTGAGCCACAGCCCCTCCCCAGCGGCATGGACAAAACCCAGGCCTTGTTCTCGGTCCAGAGCATGGTATATTTGCCTCCTTTTGCTCATGCTCTTGAAATTTCACTAGCATTATTGAAATATCTAAATCATCTGCTTCAATTTGTATCGGAACGTTTCGTGATACAAATTTTCCCCGGTGGGGGGGGACACATCATTGATCGGAGGAGATGATATCGGAATGGATGGAGCGGCGGTCTGAACGAGGCAGATTCCTCTACGAATCTTGGTGCTTGGGGGCGGGGGGGTTCAACAGTGGGAGGGCTTCTAATGTCCTGGACCCACTGGTGGACCTCCTGATGGCACTGGTATTTCTGGCCACTGTGTGATACAGAGTGTTGGACTGGATGGGCCTTTGGCCTGATCCAACATTGGCATCTCTTATGTTCTTATGTTCTTATGATTTGTGAATGGCTCTCTTGCACTTTTAACGAACGTTAATTATGACCAGAAGGTGGACTGATGTAACTCATCGTGGCATTAATTTTTTAAAAAGCAGCGAGGAAGTTCTGTTGCCTGATTGCCTACCCCCCTCCGCTACACTGGTCCTTGTGAAGAAATGCATTTTCTCCTGGGAGGTTGGCAAGGGGCGAAATTCTCCACAGGAAACCTCCTCAGGAAACAATCCATATACAAAAGAACCTCCTCAGGAAAGCTCCTCCATTAGCATGTTTCACAGCCTGGGGAACTCCTACAAGGCAATGACTCAGCCCTACCCCACCTTCCTGAGTAGATATAAATTACCTGCCTACCATTTTTCTTCTCACCTTGACACAGAGAGCACTCCATCTTTCTGTGTTATACCTCTGAGGATGCCAGTCACAGCCACTGGCGAAACGTCAGGTCCTACAATGCCAAGACCACGGCCAGACAACCCGGAAAATCTGCAACAGCTAATGAACTTCGGCCGTGAAAGCCTTCGACTACGTATTCTCCACTGTGTGTTTTAAAAGTTTTTTCTTTCTAGGCAGAGGAGGAACAGGGTCCGCTTGTACCTCAGCCCACCTTCATACAAATGCTCATGAGTTGAGACAAATGAAGGGTCAAGCTTCCCCCTTCTCTCCCCCCCACCCGTCTCCAGGCAGGGAACAGAGTTTGGAAGACTTGTCGGCTAGAACAGCTCCAGAACTGATCTCCAGGTAGGAGCAGGAGGAAATGCTTCCTTGACCTGGGCTGACCGGGTCAAGGAGAGAGAGATGGAAAAAAAAAATCTCCTTTGCAACAGGAAATAGCTCTCTTTTCTTTGGGATGCCGCACTGGGGAGAACTCTGAGCTCTGGCCTGCAAGTGGGTGGCCATTGGCCGTGTGCTCTCCTGGGAGACTGGGAACAAGCATTAAGGTAATGGCACCTCTGTAGAGGACTAGAACAGCTCAGCTAAAGAGCCTGTCCTGTATTTGAACAGCTGATAGGGCATGCCTTTAAATGCCTTCTGAGGTCACTTGCTTGTACCACCGCTGCCACAGCGGCATTAAATGCCTTCTCCAAGCCCCGTCACAACAGCTTGGCTTTGCAAAAGTCATTTAAAGGGAACTATTCCTTTAAATGTCATTTGCAAAGCCAAGCCATGTACCAGTAAACCTGGAAGCAGCGCAAGTTCACTCACCCCCTCCTCCGTTATACCCTATGGGAACGGTCCCCATAGAGCAGCGGTTCTCAACCTGTGGGTCGCGACCCCTTTGGGGGTCGGATGACCCTTTCACAGGGGTCGTCTAAGACCATCGGTCATGATGGTTTTATGGTTGGGGGTCACCACAACATGAGGAACTATATTAAAGGGTCACAGCATTAGGAAGGTTGAGAACCACTGCCATAGAGTGTAACGGAGCCGAATAAATTCGGCAATCCCGTTTATTTCCCTTAACGGAGCCGAATAAATTCGGCAATCCCGATTATTTCCAATATTGGGATTCAGGAATATCGGGAAATACCAATATCTTGGGTGTTCTTTTCACCCAACCGGAAAAATACTGATTTATTTATTTATTTTTGCACACCCCTTCTTGCGACCCTACAGGGAGATCTCCCGCTATTACAATTGATCTCCAAACAACCAAAACGGGTTCTCATGGAGAAAATGGCTGCTTTAGAAGGTGGACCCTAGGGCATCATACCCTGCTGAGGTCCCTCCGCTCCCCAAACCCTGTCCCACCCAGGGTCCATCTCTGAAATCTCCAGATATTTCCCAGCTTGGAGTGGGCAGCTCTACTGCACCCTCTTAAACTGCCGTTTCCTCCAGAAGAACTGATCTCTGTAATCTGGAGATCTCCAGGCCCCACCTGGAGGCTGGCTGGCAACCGTGCCAAGCCATCGCACGACAAACAGAAATGGGGCGGGGTGGGGGATAGCGCAACATGGACCTCCCAGTCTCCCTTGGAGAATAATTATACCTCACGTCCTCGCCATCTTCCAGCATGGAGAGACAGATTGTGCATTTCTCGTCCGTGTCCGACTCCTCCCCCTCTTCCTTCTCCGCTTTGTTCTCCTGCGGTCTTCTCTGCGGGGAGAGCCAAAGACATCAGCGCATTAGCGGAGGCGAAGCCTGACAGAAGCGTGGCGAACGGAACGGGCGAGGGCTCTGCGATTCCCCTGTGTGGACACAGCGGGTCAGGGAAATCTGCCCCGGCTAAATAAAAATCCTCACAGGGAGGGATGCCAAGTCTCATTAGCACCCTGCCAGTCTACGTGAGGCGGGAGAGGAGAGGCTGACGGATGCCTGTCAGCCTCCTGCCAGAAGGGAAGGATTTCACAGCCGCGGGAGCCGCGTCTGTGGCTAGGCCGGTTCTGTCAGAACCCACAATCCCCCCCCCTCACTAAGACCTCTTTTTCCTTAACAAGACCTTCCCAGCAACTAACCCACACACACCCTCTGTCTACCTATATTTGCATCTTGACTCCAATCAGCCCTTCCTGGCGATTTACCCCCCTCTCTACTGAAGAAGAAGAAGAAGAAGAGATTGGGTTTATACCCCACCCTTCACTACCCAAAGGAGTTTCAGAGCGGCTTACCAACTCCTTTCCCTTCCCCTCCCCACAATAGACACCCTGTGAGGTAAAAGAAGAAGAAGAAGAGATTGGATTTATACCCCGCCCTTCACTACCCAAAGGAGTCTCAGAGCGGCTTACAGACTCCTTTCCCTTCCCCTCCCCACCACAGACACCCTGTGAGGTAAAAGAAGAAGAGGAGGAGATTGGATTTATACCCCGCCCTTTACTACCCAAAGGAGTCTCAGAGCGGCTTACCAACTCCTTTCCCTTCCCCTCCCCACAACAGACACCCCTGTGAGGTAGGCGGGGCTGAGAGAGCTCTCTCGGAAACTGCTCTTTTTCAAGGACGGCTCTGACGGAACTATGGCTCGCCCAAGGTCATCCGGCAGCTGCAAGTGGAGGAGTGGGGAATCAAGCCCAGTTCTCCCAGATTAGAGTCCGTGCACTTAACCACTACACCAAACTGGCTCTCAAACTGGGGGTGCCAACCTCCAGGTGGGACCTGGAGATCCCCTGGAATCACAGCTCGTCTCCAGACTACGGAGATCGGTTCCCCTGGAGGAAATGGATGCTCTGGAGGGTGGACTCTATGTCACTGGGTGCGTTCAGATGGGGCATATGCAATGGTATAGGTGCCAGCTGGAATTGGGGTACTTACCGGCGTTAACACGGGGGACATCTGCCTTCCGTCCCTAACCGTTGCAAAGAGCTTTAAACCGTTGTATTCTGCCACTAGGTCCCCAAGTGGTGGTATCCTGAGTGCAACGGTTGTAATCGCTTTACCCCCCGTCTGATTGCTCTCCACTGTTCTAGAGCCACTTCCGTTCGGAAGCCTGAGGCTTCCGATTTTCACCCGCCAGATTTTTTTTTAGGGCGGCGATATGCGCTTGGGCGAAGCTTCGCCCCGGCGTTTGTTTTTTTAAAAAATAAAAGGTCCTTAGTTTAAGGTTTTAGAGGACTCCGGGACCTCAGGGAGGCCAGTTTGGTCTTTAAACTTTAAAGGTAAGTCCTCTCTTCGGGGCATGCTTTTCGGGACGCGGTGTTTTGCACATGCACGCAGATCGCCATTCTGTGGATGGCTGCCTATGCGCATGCGCAAACTGAGGTTGTTGTTTTTTTAAAAAAAAATGCCTACGCTCGCTGTGTGTGAACGGGCATACAGCGATGGGCTCCGCAGACAGGAGGTAAGTGTGATCGCGTTTCAGCCGGCATAAACTGCACCGGTTCCAACCAGTACAGTTTATGCCGGCTGAAACACCCCGTCTGAACGCACCCATTGTGTCCCACTGAGGTCCCTGACCTCCCCAGGTGCCATCCCCAAATCTCCAGGGGTTTCCCTACCTGGATCTGGCAACCCTACACCCCCATTCCCTGCCGGTGGCCACGGGCAACCTGGAGACCCAACTCTCTACCTATATGTAATGGTTGGGGAAGTCTGTTTCTGAAGAAGTGTGCGTGCGCACGAAAGCTTATACCCAGAAGAAAACTTTGTTTATATCAAAGGTACCCCTGGACTCGGCCTTTGTCCTGGTGTTTCAGACCAACATGGCTACCCCACTTGAAGACCCTCTGCTGGTGAGGGAGCTTGAATGACTCACTATACAAAGACAAGAACCTTTAATATTCCCCCTGCAAATAACTCAGGTTCCCACTGGTGGGGGATATCTGCAAACGGCACAGGGGGGATTCTAATATTCGGCTTTGTGAGATGGCTGCCAGCCTCCAGGTGGGGCCTGGAGATTGGCGATCCCGGTTCCTCGGATCCAACTTGCTTCCCCCCATGGCCGCAGAAAAAGAGCCCCTCTCCCCCCACGTCCCAGTCCTGAGCCGAATCGGGCCCACCAGATTCGGACAAAGCTGTTCCCCACAGTGTGCAGAAGGCCCCAGGTTCATTCCCCCAGCTGTGCGGAAACAAGTTTGGGCCCAACTAATTGAAAACCCTGTCATGTAAGCTGGACGCCGAGACATCTAATATGCCTTTCAGCAGCACTTCTTTTGTAAAAAAAGCCCAGCAGGAACTCATTAGCATAATAGGCCACACCCAACAGCAGACACTCATTAGCATACTGGATCACACCCCTGACAGCACAGCTCAATAGCATATGAGGCCACACCCCCATGTTACCAGAAGTGTGGTCATCCAGCCACACCCACCTTTTGCTTCTTATTCTGTTTACTTTGTTTGTGGTCAAAACCCAGGGCTTTTTTTGTAGCAGGAATTCCCTTGCATGTTAGGCCACACACCCCTAATTGTAGCCAATCCTAATGAGTTTCTGCTGTTGGGCGTGACCTAATATGCTAATGAGTTCATGATGGGCGTGGCCAACTCGGGAGCCAGCCGGAACTCCGCTCCTGTGCGTTCCTGCCCAAAAATAGCCCTGCCTTTCAGGAACCACAATCTGAGGGAGGGACATCAACAGGGTAGGATGCCAGAGAGTTCGTCTCCAGAGTGGCCATTTTCTCCAGGGGGACAGGTCTCTGTGGTCTGGAGGTTGACTGCAATTCCAGAAGATCTCCAGGCCCTACCTGGAGAGTGGCTACCCTGGACATCGCCAAGAAACTATCACAGTCTCATGATCCCACCCTGCCCTCTTTCTGTCCCGAGTGGTGGCAGCAGTAACACGGGTACCCCTAGAAGTACTGGCAGTCTTTAAGCAGCGACTGGACAAACACTTAACAGGGATGAACGTAAGAACACAGGAGAAGCCAATGTTGGATCAGGCCAATGGCCCGTCCAGTCCAACACTCTGTGTCACACAGTGGCCAAAAAGACCAGGTGCCACCAGGAGGTCCACCAGGTGGGGCCAGGACACTAGAAGTCCTTCCACTCTTGCCCCCCCAAGCACCAAGAATACAGAGCATCCCTTGCCCCCAGACTGAGAGTTCCTACCTATACCTTGTGGTTCCTACATCATGGCCACACCTGGGAAAGGGAAGACTGAATCTAGCCCTAACGGTTGGATATCACTCAGAAAAGTTCCCCTTTGAAATATACACTGCAAACACGCAAGCGGCTAAAATACGAAGCGCTTCTCTAACTCTGACATGAGATGCAGATTCAAAATATGCCGGAAATCCCATCTGCCATTCCATGCAAAGGGGTTAAGATCCTGGGCGCGCTCCTGAAAAACCTTACAGCGCTATTCCATATTCCGGCTTCCATATTCAGCGCGTGACTCACAGTGCACGCTGTTCACAGCTCTCGACACTAAGCCCTCCAAATCCGTGGCTCGCTCAGCGCTGGTGCCGCTAGAAGACCCAAGATGAGCTCCGGAATTCAAAAAATCGTCACAGCGACGCTATCTTCGCAGAAGCCCGTTCTGCCAACACTCATTTCTGAACAGCTTGGGTAAGACTAGACAAGACTGGGTGGGGGTGGGGGTCTGCAAATAGATCTCCCAACCTCTTTAATGTATTGGGTTCCTGCAAATCTGTTCCACTTGGGGGAGATCTCCCCCCCCCCCGCCACACAGATTTCTCCCCTGACGGAAAGAAGCTTCCGGCATCAGAGAAAGGCTTCCAGTCACTGTAGGAAGTGCCACCATTAGTGGAACGGATCCATGGGATTTGACTGAGAGGCTCCAAACTGAATCTGATTAGACTGGATCTACAGGAAGAAGAAGGCGAAGAGATTGGATTTATACCCCGCCCTTCACTACCCGAAGGAGTCTCAGAGCTGCTTACAATCTCCTTTCCCTCCCCCTCCTTACAACAGACACCCTGTGAGGGAGGTGGGGCTGAGAGAGTTCTTTCGAGAACTGCCCTTGAGAGAACAGCTCCGAAAGAACTTGTGACTGACCCAAGGTCACACCAGCAGCTGCATGTGGAGGCGTGGAGAATCAAACCCAGTTCTCCCAAATCAGAGTCCATGCTCCTAACCAATACACCAAACTGGCTCTCAGGATTCACCCAAGACGTGAACGACAGACATAGCAGCCTGAATAGCCCGGACTAGGCTGAGATGGGCAGCTAAGCAGGGTCGGACACAGCTGGTACTTGGATGGAAGACCACCAAGGAAGATCGGGGTCGCTACGCGGAAGAAGGCAGTAACAAACCACCTCTGCTTATTTATTGCCATGAAAACCCTGTGTCGGGTTGCCCTGAGTCGGTTGTGACTTGATGGCATTTCATTATTATGATTGAACGACAGACTGGACTTTGATTTTTCCATTTTGATGCACTCTGTATTGTTTTTGGTATATTTGGCACAGGGCTTATTAGCAAAGGTGGGCCTCCTGACACAGAGTGTTGGACTGGATAGGCCATTGGCCTAATCCAACATGGCTTCTCTTATGATCTTACGTATTTCCCAACTGCTATTATTTACATTCCTCCAGCTTTTCTGCCAACCTGCATTCCCAGAGTTACCCCTGGGCACTGCTGGTCTTCCATACTCTCCCACCATGACTAGTTAATAGAGATTATCTCTTCCTTACAGCTTAGTACTCAGAGCCATTGTGCGAGCACTGAGTCTGGGTGCCGGTGAATCCACATGAGGTTGCCAACCT